GTGACCCGCAGTGGGCTCGCTGCCCCATGTTACCCTAATAAGATTCCGCCAGAGGAAAGTCTGCGGTCGTTCCTGAAGAAAGTGAATATCGATTAACTTTCTTTTTAAGAATATTCTGAAAATTTGTTTTATTGTTTCCATTTTTGAAAATTGTTTGTGCTGCCTCAAAGAATTTACTTCTTTTGATAATGAGTCATTCTCGAATTTTTACAGCTCGCTGTGAATTTTCCTACACCAAACTATATTTTTAGTTCCTTCCACCAAAAATCTATGTTGCGGGAGAGGGGCAATACATATGGGCTTCCCCAACGGGATAGTGAGAAAGAATGAACAAACTATATAAATGAAGCATGAACTATATATTCAATGAACAATGCATATAAATTAACAAGCGAATTCATGAGTAGTAGTGCATCAGTAATCCTATGTATATAGTTAATTCAGACGGGAATTGCTAAGTTAACCAATAAAAAAAAACATTAAATTAGGCTGGGTCCATCCGTACGTCACCGGTGTTATCGCCGTGAGCAAGTCAGTTTCTCGGAGATCGACTAGGTCAAATCAATTCAAAGTGTGGGAATATAGCGGAGGAGCGCAGTGCTTGCCGAGCTTACGCCGGGACTCTTATCCAACGTTGCCGACAAGTTGCAGCTTCCTTCTTCACTGTTCACCGAGTGGGAAGACAGATGTTCAAATCAACGACAAAGTCCATGCGACGTACAGCGCCGGAAACGTTACCGTCTTGAGACTGGTACTTTGGCTCCGATTGCCTGCAGCCGCACCCGTCCATGGGCGGCGAATGAAGTAACCAAAATACAATAACTTTGTTCTCAAATGAATGGTTGACAGCAGCATCGGGGATAGATCCAAGGCATTTCCTTGCCGACCAATTACTGCGTCCTGCCACGCCCGTCAAGGCAGGTGGCTCAATCAAGAGTGAGCCGACCCAGGCTCATGTCCAACTTCAGCTGCGAGTAATGCATCGGAAAGAAAGAAGAGCGAGAACGACAGTCAGAAAGTCGGGCCGCTACAGTGCGACTTGTTTTAAAACTTTCAAATGATCAAAGAACGTCTCCCTCAGTAACGCCTATCTGACGCATTTTGACGTAACTCATTTTACTCTATCTGAATAATTTCCTAATCAATCACCGATTTTCAATTAATTCCAAGCTGCACAAGCGACTTATTATACTCTTTGATCAACTGACTAAGCATACGGTTGAACCAAGATACCGTTTGGTGAACCTGTACTACTAGTATCCTGTACGTTTGGTGAATCTGTTTCACATATTTAGGTTATCTTGCCTTTTGAGGTCATGCTGAGGGACCAACTGCTTGATTGCGAGCATATGACGCCCAAGATTATTTTTTCGGTTTAACGTTGCGTTGGTAAGGGCGTGCTTCAGAAGATAATGGCACCATGAAGTCGTGCCAACCTAAAAACGGCATGGAAAATAAAGGAGAAATCACATCTGATGCCAACCCAAGTTTTCGACTTTATTGCACGCATTTTGATTGAAACTCGATCTTGATCGAAGTCTTGAGACTTTGAAACTTGAAGTATCAAATAAAGTTTTTGGTTCATTAAGGTGCTAGGAACTATTCACCATATTCGTGTTTATATTTAAATCGAATTCATTTATGCTGGTATGTACACGAATCGATACCCATTTATTTTATTATACATGATATATGAATTCATTCAGCATCCCATATTATTCCGTATATTATAATTAAAATTGTGTTAAATTGAATATATTGTTTCCCATCATTACCCTTTGGTGGATGGATGTCATGTAGTACCGCAATAAAATATCTGTATGACACGTGCATCAAAATTAATATTCTAATGAACTATATGCTGTCACAGCAGTGAATTTCGCTCAATTGTTTCGAAGATATATTAAAGTGAACATTTCAATTAATGCGTCTGTTTAATCCTAGTCAGACTGCATAATTTTACAACGCTATAATCTTGGCTAAGCCGAGATTATAGCTCAAACCTTCGCCGAGAAGCAGACTACGAGCTGTTCCCGGTTGAGCCACCGCAGCTGCGCTCTGGGAGCCGCCGCGACGCCCCCAAACGACGTCTGGGTGCGATGCTCGTGGCAGACGCGCTCGAGTCGTGCCCGCCTCTCCGCGTACAACGCCTTTATTGAGTACATGAGTGATTGATAGTGTGTGTCATGATTTTCTATTTTTTTATAATACACTCAAATTGAATTCGATTAATAGATTTCAAAATTTTCATCCTTACATTTTCAAGAAACGACACGGATGTGCAAGACAGCTCATGCTTAACCTACTATAGTCCCTTAAAGACCTTTCGAAAATTGAGGTAACTTTCATCAAGCTGCTCACCTCTCGTCCAACATCATTTAAAGACCCATTTCTGAACTCCTCGACATGATACCGCAGAAACTCCAGACCTGGCGTGGCCTGCAATTCTTCCCTTGCCGTCTTTATGCCACCAACTGAAATTTCGGAATCCACTGAATTCTCCAAAATTTCTCTTGTCTTTATCAGAGAAGAAATTTCTGAAATAGCTTGGAGTGTAGGCTGGTTTGGATGAGTCAGAAATTTGAATTTCTCTTGGTACATCTGAAAAATTTATAATTTCATTACTGATTTTAATTTATACAGACAAGAAACTTAATAAGACTTCTCGTGTGTTTTTTCAACGATCATTTGTAGAGTAACAAGTTTTTTTCTTCTTCGGGGGTCCCGCTTATTTGACCTTGTTAACGTGGATGGTATACATACATAGACATAAGTTTTTTTCTATAGAGAATAAGAACCAACTAAAATTTAGACGACTAATCTGTTGTAAGCGTCTTCAGTATTGACATAAAATGAAAATCTATCCTGGACACAGAACATGAGTTATGTGAGTAATATCGTATACGTATATGATACTTTTGTTCCTTTTAAAACGTAATATGTTTTTTCAAAAGTTTTTGAAGCATTCAAATTCAAACTGATTTCTCGTCAACATCTATTCATATGTCATATTTTATAGAAATTTTATAAGACGCAGGCTTACCAAGAATAATCAGTCAAATTGAAAGTCTCTTCTAATATAATCAGTTTCACCGGAGAAGATAAGTGTATAAATTTAATAGGACGCAGGCTTACCAAGAATAATCAGTCAAATTTAAACAGTCTCTCCGAATAATCAGTCTCTCCGGAGAAGATAAATGTATATATTTAATAGGACGCAGGCTTACCAAGAATAATCAGTCAAATTTAAACAGTCTCTCCGAATAATCAGTCTCTCCGGAGAAGATAAATGTATATATTTAATAGGACGCAGGCTTACCAAGAATAATCAGTCAAATTTAAACAGTCTCTCCAAATAATCAGTCTCGCCGCAGAAGTTACCTCGTACGTGAGAGAGAACACGAGAACTCCAACGAGGACGTACAGTAACTTGGCAGAGTCCATTGCTCCAAAATGTTACATGCGTCCCTGGAACTTAGTTTAATTTCAACTCTGTGGAAACTATACAGTGTGGGAATGATTGAAACCTATGATTTATAAAGACTGCCCTATACCTGTAGAAATTTTCAAACGTACGTCGGCTTCAGGATATCTTTGCAGATTAATATTATTCGTGTGGATCAAATTGATAAAAGAATGCCTATCTGTTATTAATACAATTCGATCTCTACATAGATAGTAGCAATGAAATTACAGACAAATTTATGTAATTCTACTTCCGACGTCAAGAGGATTTTCCCTTAATATTTGTACGCAGAAGCAAAAATTAACGAATAAGATAGCTTCCATACAACGCGTTTGCTGTGTTCATCAGCTCTGAGCACAGAATGTCCAGCTGACAGCCTAAATCAATGTATATTTATGAAACAATGTAATCAACAATGTATATCTTTAAAATAAATCAAATCTAATCGCAATCGATAGAATGTTTAATGTACCTGACGAAATGGAGAGTTTCATGCTATGTTTATCATGCAAAGATTTTTACGAGACTTGAATTAACCTACTTTATGAAGCTTAATTATTGTTAAATTTCCAATTTTAGAAAAATTTGAACTTAGATTTACCAGCTCTTTTAAACTGTTCTCGATGTCGATTTTTCACGTTCCAATTCTTTATTTCTTTGAAAACTTTATTAACTATCTTTAATTGTTGGCAGAAGAACGGATCACCAACCATGCTATTTGGTTCAATACAATTTTTTTCTTGAAGGAGCTTCGGTAGTTACCGACACATTTTTCAATTATGTCTTGTGATAGAGCTTCTGAGACTGAGAAAAATTCCTGTTCTTGTAACTAAGCAAGACTTCACGGTCGGCGTTTTGAACACAACATGCCACTGAGAGAGCTTCTTGTTCAGATGCAAGCAAGACTTCCACCACAGGTGCAGGGTTGCCAGATGGAGCCGAGTGAAAAAGGCCAATTTAGCTCACAAAAAAGGCCACAAAAGGCCTCATTTGAAATTAATAAGAAATTCTTAACAAAATTAGAGTTTATTCGTCTTGGGCAAAACTAAATTTAGGTGTACTCGTCTTGGATAAAATTGAAGGACCAAATTATCAGAAAAAAAACGGGAATTACACTTTTCATAAAAAAGGCCCAAAACGGATAAAAAGGCCAAATTAATTTTTGTCAGGCCAATGCCTTCAAAAAAGGCCACATCTGCGAAATTTGGCCTGAAAAAGGCCCATCTGGCAACACTGCACAGGTGCACTAAGACGACAGGTGCCTTCTCACCTGACTCGTGTCATGAAATGAGGAATGGAGCGCTAGACGGCAGGTTCGTATTCAAAGTTGAATCAGGCAACAGATTAGCTACTAATTGGAAGGAAAAAAGAACAAATGATCGGTGACTTGTGCTGAAATGAATAAAATATTCGCAAGAAATTTATCTCATTAAATGTTCTGGAGTGCTGCATGACAGCTTTATATCACTCTGCTAACGCGTGCAGTAGTACTCTGCAACACTGCATGTACAGTGTTTACTATATTAATGTAGTTTGTCAGGAGTAGCTCCGTTTTACAAGTTTGATATAAGATTAGAAAATTGAATTTATTAACAATCTTCTTGTTCGTTTTCTCAATTAGTCGAATGATATTTTTCGCTTGCGTGGGAAGATCGAATAGCCGGTTTTCAAAAGTGCGTACAATGGAGACCGAACTAATACAGTGAATAGGGTACCCTAGAGTTGTCCCATTCGTCTATAAAAAGCGTGTTTAGAAGTTTTGATGCCGCTTAAGAGTTTTACTAAGTTAATAACCGTTTATTCAATTTATGATCGTACTCAGTTTGTCGGGTTCACTTCGGTATTTGGGTCGGGAGTTAGTCGAACATGAGACGCACCTCCACTACACGGAACATGCTACATTGCATGTGGAGTCGACATCATTGTTATAAAAACCGGATGATACTCGCTTAACCACGAATAATATAACCACATCACACCATATAACAGATAAACGAATGGCTAACTATAACCAACGCAATAAAATTCAAATTAATTCTCAACGACGATAATGAATTTTATTAATTGGTTAGTTAAAGCGATACTTTTTACTAAAATTTTTGAATCTTGTTTCACGAGCGGTAAACATCCAAATACCTAGAAATTTTCATTACAAGGCACAACGGCAATAAAAAAGCATCGCAGGTTTCACGTTTTTCTCTTTGTTTTTTTTTCGAAACTGCTTAAGAAATTCACCTGATATTTTCATATTTTTTAGGCACAAAGCATACGGTAAATTATTTATATGTAATTGCATTTCAAATTGTATTTATGAAATATGCTCAAATAAAATAAGCTTATAAGCGTACATTAAACATGCTCCGGCTGCTGATTACCGATGGACGGCTCAACGGTTGACTTGTTATTGAATTTTGAATGAGCTGAGGAAAATTTAAAACCATTTTAGTATACACAAGAATTTGTGTAGTAAATGCACCATCTGCACCTAATAAAGCCTTATTCAAATTTATTAAGTTTGAACCATAGTTGCGTACTTCAGAGCCTATTTTGCTGTTCTATCTCTGTTTTACTTTGCATATTGTTAAAATCTTACAAAATTCTGGCGTTTATGAACCACGTATCCCTTCTGATTAGAATTTCAGATAGTAAATAAATTCAAGAAGCGTTTAATTCAGAATTTCTGATATCAAAATTCATAATCATAATTGGTTTGGATTTGATTTTCAATGAAAAATTTATGGAATGAAACATAGCTGGCATCTTGAAACAGCCTCCGTTCTAGTTTATTGTTTACAATTATTCAGCTAGCGCAAATGTGCATTGACTTGAATCTTACATCTAAACCTTTAGCATTTCATTCAAAAGTAAACCACAGCCTATGTTCGCTAAGAGCATCTTTTTCCTATTATCGAGCTACGTAATAAACAGACGATCAAAGCATCGTAGCCCAGGTTTGCTTTAATTTTTTGATTGGGATGAAAGTCTTTTATCACAGTTATTAATGATCTAATTTACTTGTTCACGAAGATCTGTTGATTAAAGTGTATGTGCGCAGCTATGTCTAGTTACATATAATACGAGTATAACAAAGATGCAATCCAACTAAATTGATCTTATATAACATTAAATAAAGCTATAATTGTAACTTTTCAGAATGTAATATAAACAGCGACTATATACGTCATATTTATAATTTCAATTCGCCTGACCCCAGGCACTATAGCGCTAGACACAAACATCGCCAGCACTTTTGATCACCTCATTGGGGACATTTTTGAGGTCCGGAGGGAGGGCTGGAGGGAAGAGTACTTGGGGCGCAGCCCCGTTTGGTCTGAGGGGGTAGAGGAGGTAGTCCAGCTCCCTCATCTTTTCGGGGCTGATGTAGTGGAAGGTGATGGCGGTGTCTGAACAACATTCGAGACCCTGAGAACAACCGAAAACTCAGCATAAACTGATAAGAAATTAGTAGGCTGGGCGAAACCCAGTTCCCTGCCACCCACTACCCGTGTCAAAAACAAACGTCACCAGCTGAACAAAAGACACAAAATATGTTACAACAAAAAGTCAATCAAACCATTATAGTAAATCATTTTATCTTTCAGAATGTTAATTAGCAGCAACGAAATATCAATAAGATCTAAGTAAATAGTGATTATCCCTCAACATAACCTTGCACTGAAACATTCAACCCAAATCTGCACAAAAGAGGACATTCCTCTTGTAACACTGTGTATCCCAATAAGCGCTACAAATCTCGCCATTTTTCTCATCCATCTTCGCACAATTATTCCAAAAATTTAAATGATGTGCCTATCAACCGCTTTTTTCGTCATTACCCTCTTTCAACCGACCCTAATTCAACTACCAACAACATGATCAAACTCACATCGCCTTCGTTCACATCCATATGTCAGTTAGTTTTTCCCTTCTTCTTTCCGAATAATCTATACCATCTCTATTATTTACTTATTCAGTGAGTCCACCTACTCACTCATGCAACATATTATTATTCATAGAAACATATTAGTATTCCATGGCGTATCAAGCCTGAAATATTAGCCGTCCTCCTCTGAATGGATTGTAAATGAAAACCCACAACCCTAAAAAGAATGGTCTCACAAAGAGAGAAAAGTACAATTTATCTCGTATGATAATTTTCGAAATGGATTTTGATATACCACATCATTAGTACTGAATTTACCCCTAAATAACACCCATCCGCCACTCACCACATTAAGGGGGTATAGTAAGATCTCTGCCAGGCCCAGGTGTTCTCGAGGTTTTTAGGCACGAGGTGGTGGACGCTCCAGATGAAGAAGCGACCTCTGCCCAGCGAGTCTCGTGAATCCACTAGGTGGACACCAGCGTTTTATAAGCACAGACCTGTAGTTTAAAATTAAGTTCAAATTCCAGATCATTTTTAATTAATTCAACGCTGGAAATACTAATAAAAGACGTTCATCATTGAAAACTGCTAGAGCCGTGCCTGTGACAATTACCTAATTTTTTTTTTTTAATTTTAAAGGCCTCCCACACTCACCATTCCAACAAAAAAAAAAGAATTGATTTTGTTAATTAAACACAGGGAATGGTTTCATGTCAATGATCAGGGCCCCGACCTTACGCTGATGGTGGCCTACACCGACTCCGAGGGTCACTGAGCTGTGACGCGAGCGAGGAGCGGGCCAGGGCACCCAGTAAAAGTGACTTATGGGCGGGAACAACTTTTAGTGTTGGTCTAAAATTAAACCTAATTGAATTGTAATTCCTTTCACGATCAATCAATATGCAAGCAGTGGTAAGCACCAAGAATTCCTTACACTGGAAAAAAGCAAATGTTAAACTATATATCAAGCCCGCTAATTTTCTCAGTATTGAACTCAAGTTTCAAGTACTATTGAGTCCGATTCTAAACTAGATGACTTCTTCAGCGTTAAAGTACCAAGTGGCAAGGTGAAATATGAGACTAATGTTGTCTAACTGTTATTCATGAAAAAAGTATCTTTGTATCGTAAATCACTTTAAAACATTAAATTCAATTTCCAGGGATAAGCTCAATTGTTAGTTTAGGGTCTCTGTTGTGTCGTCTCCGGTGACAGACGCATTTCAGAATTTTGGAATTGCATTGAAATCTTTTGTAACATTTTTCATGGCTTTTTCTAGCCTATAATAAATACTTACGACCTTATTGATGATAATTATTATTAAATTATTATTTAATCTATATTATTTAACTTAATTCTTCTTATATATAAGTGCAGTCTGTACCACTTTAATGGAATTGCTTTCATAATGTGTTATATTTTAGAAATAATTTAGCAGCTTTTTAGTTATTTCTCAATTCGTAATTACAAGAATGTGAAGAATAAAAAACTAAATTTCCTGTTGCTGTCAGTATGAGTGGCGGCGATTGTACATTTTCATGGCAAAGCCTGCAAAATCTGCAATGACGAACCCATTTGCACGTCTTCTGGACCCGTGTCGTTAACTCTGGCAACCGAATACCTGTTGTGATAAGCATTCGTAGTAGGAACCGCCTTATCAACCCCCTTGAATATCTGTTGGATAAACATGCGTTAGTAGGAACCGCCCTATCAGGAGTATCAGCCCTGTTACGTTTGCTAGTCGTAGGATTTCAAAGTCCAGGCTAGCTATAAGGAGGAAGATGGGCAGAGACGAGACTGTAGGTTTGGGAACTGTATTTGGTGGAATCTGGTATGCAACTGAAGCATAACGGCTTGCTGGCCTTACATCACTCAGTGACATGACCTACTATTGACACTATAGTAGTTCTACTTGAATTTGATCATAATACGTAGACACGTAACAAGCCCCTTGAATACCTGTTGGGATAAACATGCGTGGTAGGAACCGCCCTATCAGATCCTTGAATACCTTTTGGGATAAACATGCATAGTAGGAACCGCCCTATCAGCTCCTTGAATATCTGTTGGGGATAAACATGCGTATTAGGAACCGCCTTATCAGCCCCCTGAATACCTGTTGGGATAAACATGCGTAGTCGGAACCGCCCTATATATCAACCACCTGAATACCGTACCTGTTGAGGTAAACTTTCTTGGTAGTTGACATGTACCTGACGCTACCTGTTAGTACGGAAATCAACATCTATGTGCCAAGAGGTTAAAATACAATATAAGAGAAGAATCATTGTTCATTTGCAACTTAGGAACCAGTTAACCAAAAATTTTATTCGATTAATAAACTTTCTAACACCCTTGTCTCGCATAACGAAGTCAAAATCAGCTTTCGAAATCCTCCCTCAGCAAAAGAGTGATGCAAATTTTTTATTAAAATTGATTAATAACCCCTGACACATGATTGTAAACTTCCTTAAGATCACCGCATGAGACAATAGCGCTTGATATAAGATAACCAGAGCTGGGCAGCGCTACTTTGAATTGTAGCGGCCGCTCCGCTACCGCTACATGCTCTAAATGTAGCGGGCGCTACCGCTACCGCTACAATTGCTTAAATGTAGCGCCGCTACATGTAGCTTAAATGTAGCGCTACCGCTACATGTAGCCCACTACTGCCCACCTCTGGTAACAACTAACATGTTGACACTAGTAACAGGCTGAGGTTGACAACATTACACCGAAATCTTTCGTACAGTTGTATTCTGTAATTTATATTATGTATGTATCATGCTGGTTCTTAAATAATATTTAATACTAATAATAAGTAGAATCTAAAGGCTTTATCTATAAATGTAGCGGTAGCGCTGTAGCGGCAAAACCTCATATCGCTACTTAAATATGTAGCGGGCGCTACCGCTACAATTGCTTAAATGTAGCGCCGCTACCGCTCCCGCTGCTGAAAATGTAGAGGCCGCTAGTAGCGGCCGCTACAGGTAGCGCGCTACTGGCCACCTCTGAAGAAAACTGAACATTGTTAAAATCCACCGAAAACATTGTTGAAATACTCCGAAAACATTGTTGAAATACTTTAAAAACATTGTTGAAATACTCCGAAAACATTGTTGAAATACTCCGAAAACATTGTTGAAATACTTTAAAAACAGTTTAAATATTCCGAAAACATTGTTGAAATACTTTAAAAACATTGTTGAAATACTCTGAAAACACTGTTGAAATACTCCGAAAACATTGTTGAAATATTCCGAAAACATTGTAGAAATACTTTAAAAACATTGTTGAAATACTCCGAAAACATTGTTGAAATACTCCGAAAAAAACATTGAAATATTCCGAAAACATTGTTGAAATACTTTAAAAACACTGTTGAGCTATACTGAAAACATTGATGAAATACTTTAAAAACATTGTTGATATACCCCGAAAACATTGTTGAAATACTCCAACAAGGCAAGCAAGAAATTTCTTTATTTAGAGAATATCATCATCAACGTCAATATTAATCTACTCACAGGCTGCCATACTGAAGAGCTGAAGCAGAAATCAAACTTGCTTATATTTTTAATAAATCCAACGAATGGATACGGTAAAGTTAACTCGTGCGCTATGGCAATATATATTTCTTCGGCTTGTAAGAAGTGATCGTCATGTGTTTCTTCCATGCATGATGGATGTTCCAGCAAATAAATTTTTCTACAAGTGAACTTACCGTTGGATCGATTTAGTGAACTCACTGGCTATTTTATGAAACCTGAGCGGATCATTAAACACTGTAATATCACTTTCAAAACGCGTTCGCTTTCATCGGAGAGAGTTCTGCATTTAAGACCAACACATCCCACTTCAAATTTGTCACTGCGCTTCGTCATCACATGAGCCTAGCAGATGTTTCCTTGGCTGCTCAGATGGTGGGGGCTCGAAAATTTAGATCGCTTATCGTTTGACTGATATTCGTGAGAATAATTGTTGCAATAATTTTATTTATTTTATACAATTTCAGCTCGGCAAGATAAAGATGAAATTAATTAAAATCGTTTTACATGATCGAGAGGACAAAGGTACCGCTAATCGTTAAATTGAGTTTATTAATCAATTAATCACAAACAGTTTTTACATACAGTGTTTGCAGTTTTCAATGCAGCATCTAAGCTATTAGTAAAATAATAACGCAAGTAGTTTGCATGCCAAGTGAAAATATTAGTAATACTCGATATTTTTTATGAGAGTCAATTGCCTGCAATGATCAAATCGGAATAATTGCCACTTGCAGGTGCTGAGGCCTACCGACGAGCGGTAGGAATGAATTTTCAGCAGAAAAATCAGTCATCAGTCAAGCGCATCAGCCACAAAAAATCAGTCATCAGTCACGCGCATCAATCACAAAAAATAGAACTCAGTACCCATCGCAGAGAGTGACAGAGAGCGCATTTTCTCGTCGACGAAAACATGAAGTCACGGACGGACAGACAGACGGACGAACGGACAGACGGACATGGCGAGCACAATAGTGCATTTTTTTTATAAATGACAAAAAAGCTAATAAGGCATCAGTCACAAAAATCCGTCACACGCAGACGAAGTCAAGTTGAACAGTCATCCTGGCATTAACATTAGCTTCAAATTATCAAATGATCAGTAAAAAATCGTAGACTTACAATGAAATGTTGATATATTGTAGAATTTATAGAATTACTATAAATGGCTCCCTATTGTATAATAGCTCCTGCATTTATTGTTATTTTTTCTAAATTATTATCGAAAGATACAACCATAAAGTTTCAAGCTGGAAAGTAAATTTTAAAATATATTTTTTTACCTAGAAATAGCTTCATTCCACCGATCTCTTTGTTAAACTATCTGTTATTAAGTAGAAATATCGGCTGACATTCGTTAGGGAAATGATTCATCTGTGGTACACGTGACATAAACTCAGCTTAAACGATGCTATCATTTAATGATGATGAAACAGTGGTAGTGGTCATGAGCGATGATACGACACCACCATAATTGATGTTGGGTGAATGAGTTCAATTTACATGGGATGATAACAAGCGAATAATCCTTAATCTTGTCAAATTAATTGTCACATTCCATAAGGGCATGCATAAGTCTACTGCAAGCATAGATGCTATATGTAACGATCTTTTCGTCAATCTTTGTGAATACCAGCGCCTGCACGTAGGCAATTCGGTACCGCACTAACGTATATGAGTTCGGTCAGCATGCTCGCTCATAGCTAGCGAAATCATGAGCTGCAAATTGCTTTCGTTCGTATTCAGCTTTTATAAATTCCCTTCAATTCAGAAATCGTTTTTCGCACTCAGAAAAACGAATGGGTCATGCTGTCGAAATAGTGACTCGGTTTTTACACGTAGCACTGATACGCTCATTGGTCATACCAAACTGGGCCAAGCTGACCCACACAAGTGCAAATATGCACCGCTATTTCGACAAGGTTTCATTCATTTCTCTGAGTGACGCATTTCTCTTCTGCCGCACCGCGCTCATAGTCGCCTCCCCTGCCCCTAAAACACGGGCGCCTCGGCCCTTAATTTTTCACTCGTCCCTTAATTTTTCACTCGGCCCTTAATTTTTCACTCGATCGAGTAAATCAATGGGCAGATGCTTTATAAATAGAGGTTCCGCCAGTTAGGCTGTTTGCTAATTGATAATAAAATGTTACTTATGGTATAGAGCAGCAGTTTGGGAAGTTTTAATTGCCTAAATTAAGGAGTTTTGTCTTTGAGTTTCAAATATTATAATCCTTCTGATCCCCAGTTTTCGGATGAGAGGGTTTTCAATCATAAGAAGCAAAAGATTCTTGCCGTGTATAAAATAAGAGTTGTTTTGCATGACTTGATTCACAATCATGCGGTATTTCCATGGCTAAAATTTAGACTTAATTTAGAGTCAGATACTGTAAATGTTTGGCCATCAACATTTTCAATCCACATCCTTGAGCTGAGTTCTGAGTTATTTTATCATCTGTGATACACGCTATTTCACTTAAAATAATAGGCTCATCACATACAATGTACATGCACACGTTAATGAAAATTTTTCATGTGAGAAATTTATCATTCCAAAAATTGTTCCAATTTTTTCTACTCTTTCATCTTAATTCCGAATTTTCATCATAGTTCTGGACTGCTTCGATGCTTTTTCTCATACTTATTGTAAGTCAAGCATTATTTACAAATTTTAATACGAAGTCGTGCGCTAGACTCTTTCGATGCGAAGCTACCGTGCAGAATTATTCATAATTTCATTGCAAAACCGAGCCACTGCCTCCAATTACACATCTGTGGGCACCTGCCACAGGAAATAAATCTCTGCAGAACACTTGCGGCACAGAAGAACATGCGATCCGAGAGAAAAACGATCTTTGCGAACGAGAAGCATTCAGCATAGTTTCAGTTAAATTTTGAAATTACAGGCTTTTCGAATGAGCAATAACTTGGATGCTACATAAGAAATATCTTGGGCGAACAACTGTATGTGATTACCCCCATAAAATCGCATAAATGAATCCGTTATGCTCTTCTCTCACTCAAGGGATATGATCTTCATGAATTACATATGTCTTAACAATCTGTGATTAAAATCTATTTATTGAATAAATGAATTATTCACAGAAATTCCAGTTTATAGAGCACTGCTTTAATGTGTTAGCACCAGCAATCTGTTGAAAAAACGTTGAAGTTTCTGTGGGGCTTGAGTCTACGTGTAGCGCAGTGATGGATTTGTAGCGTGAAGATCATTAGTTTAGAACTCGCTCCGACGTAAATAGACTCCATACTTTTGACAGCAACCAAATTTTGTATTGCAACATCAAAAAAAAACATTAATTTATTGGCAGTACAAAAAATTCATTTTTGGACATTTAGAAAAGTGATTGAGTGGTAAAATCGGTAATAATCTTGAGTGTTGTACAACGGTGGATATACGTTCTTTAAACAGTTAGACCAGCCACCAATTCTTAACATCACAGAACATGTATAGCTTGTTGCTAGTCTCGAACACGCAACTCACTACTTCAAATTTGCGTTGCTTAGCCGCCCGGCCTCCTCGCCAATTCGACCAGAACTGTAGCAGGTAGCTGGGATCGAACCCTAGCTCACTGCTCCAGCCTTGTTGCTTTGAACTGTAACCACTGGGCATGCATCCTGAAGAGCAAATGGTTATAATCCTAAAAATGAGTCGTAACTATCTTAAAACTGTTTAGTATTATCATTGATACGACGAAGCAGAAACGCAGAAACGTTATTTTCATGCGTCATTCCTGCGAGGAAATACAATAATTATTGTTCGTCGTCGTCCAAACCGTTCAAGTGAATTGTCAAGTCTCTTCTTGTGGCTAAATAAAATATCGAAATGGCGTTATGATGGTTCAAAGAAAACCAATTTTATAGTGTAACTGCTCACAGAACTCTAATACAGCCTTGCGATGGCTCATATAACATTAATATTGTAGTTCAAAGGCTCAAAGTAAACTGATATTATAGACTAACTAACACTAGAATTATAGACTAATTCAACTAACACTAATATTATAGTGTAGTGACCCCGTTAACGGTAGGCGCAGTGCGACAATGAGAAGCGGCCCAGCGAACCTTCACTTCAGCGGGATGAAGCAGCTGATCGAACTACTGGGGGAGGCTTGCGCATCTGAGACTGTACTTACTGGAAAGGAGGAGAAATAAGTATATCATGTTGTACACATGGAGAATAATAACCGAGGCGGACTGGCACCTAACTTCGATAGCGAGACCTTCAGGATTGAGACATACCATAACGAGAGGATGGGGAGACTGTGCTAGATACCCCCATTACGCAACAGAACTGCGGTCAGATTTCAATCTCAGCGGGAAGGTTTCCTTTCCCTGGAAGGACCGAGGCTGTTTTAAGTCTTTCAAATGGATTTAAGAGAGGGTGAGTTCACCCTCGAGACTTAATTTCAAGAGGTGACTATGAGTTCTTGGGCACAATCCTTGATCGTCCGCCTCTGAACCTAAAAACAAGTAACATCATCGTGCATCAGCTTACCCAACTCCGGTCATGATAATGATTGCTCTCAAAATGTAAGGCATGACGATGATCAATCGTTAAATTCAGGGCAAAATTTGACTGAAAGTTAGTGACGCCAACCATGATGTTGCGGCCCATCTTAGTACAATCCAAATCTTCTGCCAAAAATATGCGGTTTAATCGCTGACATTTTTCATCATTTCATAGGCTGTCAAAATCCTGTTTGTTCGCTTCAACTTGAACTTGTTCGTTTTCATTTTTTATGACCTTAGAAAAGTTGTTTAACTAAAACTAATATAATTGAGCTGACGCAATAACCCAAAACAGAAATTGTTCAGAGATAACTAATCTATTTAATCGATATTTTAGCAGTTACCTAACAATTCAAGTTTAAACGGTAACTAAATTATTCATTATTGTTGCTATAACGAAAATATTCGATATTTTAGCGGTTGCAAACCATTAAAGACTTTAGCAGTAACCAAACTATTCCATCAATATTTTAGCGGTATCTACACTAATAAATAATATCGAGTATTCTAGCGGTAACAAAATTATTCCATATTTTCGCGGGAACTAAACCATTCAAGTCTTTATCATTGATAAAGAATTATTCAACCAGTTTCAGATTATTCATCATTTAAGCGGCAACTAATTTATTAGATCGACATTTTAGCGGTAACTAAACTGGAAAATATTTTTGCTGTTAATAATTTATTCAGTATTCAAGCGGTGATCAACTAATCAATATTTTAGCGGTAACTAAAACATTTTACACTTTTACAGTAAGTAAGCCATTCGATCAATATTTTAGCATTAACTTAACTAATCAATACTTCAGCGATAACTTAACTTTTCAATACTTGAACTGTAGCTGAACTATTCTACATTTCCAAATTGGGAGCTTGTCCAAAACGAAACTGTCTGAATTAACCCGAATTTCGCTCTTTATGGTTTATTGTCATAATGTCATCAAAGGTAAATAAATACGTCCTTTTTCTGCGCATGATATCAGCAAATCGACTGTGTACAATCACTGCAATGTACACAAATTTTAATTTTTATTGCCTTGCATAAATTTTACTATTTCCCTGAACTTAACAACACCGCTTAGGGAGTTTATGTCGCGTTTACATTAAGTTTTTGATACCGTTATATTCAGGCTGATCAGGCAGGTTCGTTAAGCTCTTTATCATTCAAATATTTTTATTTTTAGGAATACTTTATTGTTGATTTCTTAGACTCGAGACATTAATTGTTAAGATTTATTTCTCCACAAATCCTAAGTTGAATAGGGTTATTATTCCTTTATGTATACTCTATTCAAAAAAAATCTGTTATGAATTTTCACTTCAAAATTCTTTGATCCAGTCTAACCTCCTGTTTTTGTCTAAAAACCTGTGTCCTCCTGATACCTCGACCTGTGTTGGTAATAACAGGCGCTTCTCGGTGAAGTTCCTCCGCATCTTGCGTTTCTAAAAATAATATTGAGAACAGTTGTTTAAATCGTTTAGATTGTTACCCGTGCCATTGATGGCACATAAAAACTTATGTAGTTCATTCACATGCACACTTTCACCACATAGACCGAGATATTAATTGAAATCATTTGTGATCGTGTTCACGGAATACATCGCTGAGCTCCAATATACCTTGGCAATTCAATTGACAGTATACGCATATACAATAATTATTGTCTCATGAATGATGAAGTGTATAATTTACTGGTGTTTCAAAACACCAGCATTTCTCTCGCCAACTTGATAATATAATCGTTTCCATCATTCCTCTCATCGGTATCGTTTTCTCAGGAATTGATAATATCAATTAAATCACAATCTACATCATCACAGCATGAACGACTTCTTCTGTGAATTTGTTCTTAGACGCACTTATTCAATCTTTCGTACCTTAAAATGTAAATACAAACGATAAATGAAAAGTGATATTTACAAAAAATATAATAAGTTTCTTACTTTCTGAAAGATTTGGAATGTTCATGATTCCCTTGCAGATGGCTTTAATAATAAACTGGGTATAATGATCGTTTTTACGCTGACGGTATCCAACTATACAGCAAACTACTTGCCACATTTTCATTAAACACAACAAAAAAAATTCTTAAGCGTGGCATAGGACACTTCGTTGTCACTTATTTAACTTCATGATTACGTGACACTTGAGTTGATTTTTCTTCTTGGTATATTCTGAGGAACGAGAATTTAACGACCGATCTAATGTGGAAAAGAGTGAGATTCTAACAATAAAATCATAAATTATTATCGAAATGTGAGATGATAATAATTTTGTTTCGTTTAAGCTCAACTTGATCCAGTCGATTTCACTTCTCACGCTGTGCACGCAAAATGATAATTTTTCATAAGTAAAAAGCTCAGAAGAAGAATTAAGTAAAATGCTCACACCGGCGACTGAGCCAACATGGCCTAATCAAAGTACCCCAAATTTATTAATTTTTCATTTGAGATAAACATGTTACAAGCAATGTTTCAATAGATGAATACAGCCATGTGGATGATCCTCTCATTATGTAAGTGATACACGATTACGATTTTCCTAAAAAATAGTTAAGGAATATTTTGCCAACGCAGTGCCGCGGCAGTTGCCTTGCCGCGGGCAGAGTTGACACGCGATTCTGGTTGCAATGCGGCAAGCAGCAACAATGGAACGTTTAGCTATTTCTTGGTTGTGATCGCATTGATGAAGAATATCTTTTATACGAAAATATATATATGTCAACCTTTATTTATTATATTATTTATTGCTTCTCTCCCTCTAAAACGTTTATCTGAAAACCTGGGGCCGTATTATCAAAACTTCGTAACTCTTTGTACTTCCGACAAAAAAGTTACGTGTTACGTAAGTAAACCCTAATTTTGGCATTATCAAAACATTCGTACGTAAGGCTTAGCTAAAAGCGTACTATCAAAACCATTTGGCCAACTGACCAATCAGAAGCTTTGGATTTGTTTACATTCTGTGAACTTCGATGGCGGGAATCGATGCCTTCGTCAGAAAATGCCGTTCTAAAATAGTTGTGAACTCTTTTTAATAAACAGCGTGAGTTGAAAGTACAGTTACGTTACTTATCTTCCCGCGCAAATGTTTTGATAATACCACCTCTAGAGTTACGTCATCAAGTCAGCACTTACGCCACTCGTAAGTCGATTTTGCTTACATACGAAGTTTTGATAATACGGCCCCTGAGCTAAACAGCTATGCCGCTTAATGATCTCACGAACCGCACAACAATACAAGAATCACCCCAAGTCCAGATCGTTATTCACATGATTCTTAATTCTATAATTCTATTTATTGTAGGAAATCTATTATGAAGCAAGACGCCTGCCAGTTTTTCAAACTTTTATTCCGTAATCTTCTATTATTTTTGTTTTTATTAGATGACAGTTCTTGCAGAGCATCAACACATGGAGCCATGTTGCCATTACTTACTGATGGACATATGTGAGGTTTATAGATGAAAGTTTACTGCTATGCCACAATATTCGGATTATATATATAGCGGCCCCAGTCTTGGGGTCAATTTAGTAAATAAGAAAGCAAGCTTTTAGTGACCCCAGACATTTAACCAAGTCGGGAAAATAAAATGATAAATGAGGACTATAATAATGAGAAAATTAATACATTAAAAATCAACCTTGCGTTTCCTTGGCTCATGTCCTAACTTCGGATTCAAGATTCAGAGCAGTTCTGAAAAATGCACAAATAAACAAATTACGGAGAGGCATTTAACTAACTAACAAAACGGTATGAAACGTGAAGCAAAAAACCACCACTGAATCGACACATAATTAACACAAAATAAACAGACCAAATACTTTCACGTACCTCCGTGGTGGATCAAAAAACAATGAAAAAGTACATATACAGTAGCATGTCTCCATGAGGTCACTTCAGAAACCTAAATAAACCGAAAATACATTCATAATACCTAAACCAAAATCAGAAATACCTAACATACAATAAGTACTATTGAATTGCGTTCCCTAAAACTTGACACAAAACTTTAATAAAAAATGTCGCAATGAAATGCTACAATAAAATAACATAAAGGATCCCTAAATGAGAAGCACAAGGTTGAAGAAACTCGTTGAAGATGATGCGTGATGCCCTTCCTAATCATAGGAAATTTTACACCGATAAAAATCATGCTGCTCCCAAATCCCCGCTATAGACTTAATAAACGAATTCGCGAGTTAATTAAATATTACTCGTTAGTTCAATTACATGGCGAGCAGCTAGCACACGGATCCATGATTTCCAAATCATACATCAGTGCAGATATTCATCCAAAGAATAGTCGAACATTTCGAAGTCGATCTTGTAGATCTCGTAGAGCTGCAGGATGAGCGGCCTGGGTAACGTCTGCTCGCAGAAATCCGTAATATTAGGAATTATAAAATAATGTGGTAAATGGTAATAAGAGAGATATTAATGCAAATAAAAGAATTTTAGAAGTTTGTGGATAAAATGGGTTTGATGTAAAAACTACATAAATGATAGCCAACAGGCATGAATCTTCAAATAATTCTAATATTGCTTTCTTTACTGGAAAAATTGAGTAAGGTTTCTGATACCATGCACAAAAAACCTTGCGTGTTACCTAATTTATCCATATTATTGCGTTGTTTACTGTATAACAATGCTCTTTCTGTCTCAACATTCGTAATATACCGCAATGTCTTTTCTGTTTCAATTCCTTTACAGAATCACAAAACCATGAATTAGGATACACAATAATTATTATTAGTATTCACCGCAGGGAGTATTGCATCTCACGGTCTCACCTTGAAGTATCGATATGACGCGTTGGCCGAGTTCAACGCGTTGCCGTGCACCTCATCCCCGATGTTGAACTTCGGCAACAGGTACCTGTTGACATGAACAACATCTAATGAATGTAACAATCATCGATAAAGTCATCGATTATTGGTTGTCATTACCAGTCATTGCCAGCAGAACTGTGCAAGTTGCAGCTCGAGTTCACTTCTTTCTGATGTGTTTCGCAAGTTTGTTGGCACATGAAAACTTTCACGCACAATTATTGGCTGGAGTAAAAAGTGTATTCCAAGTTTTAGTCACTTGACATCATCCTCCATAAAACATCATCCTCCCCCCTCCCCCCAATGCAATCACAGAGAGAGAAACGTTGATAAGTATTGCCAGCTAGCGTAGACCAAATATAAATATCGAGACGTTATATCTCTTTTTTATTCACTGCCAAACTTAACATCGCTCCGTTATCATCGTGCGGGACTCGCAATTCAGATAGATTGTATACCCTCACATTACTGAGGAAAACCACAGCCTCCTGAGACTGATATCGCAAGGTTAACTGCAAACAAACTTTTCTGCACCGGCACATGAAAACTGATGTTTTATTCTTGACGCACCTGAGATCCTCGTTCCATGTTTCCATTTTAATGATGTATTTGTAACTCAGATCACACACTCCGCAGTTGACGAAATACGGACGCCAGTGAACGTCATAAGAGTTGAACGAACTTCTGTCAGCAACGACCGGAACTTTGATTTTGTCGATCAAAAACTGGACAAAATCCTTGAAATCCACCATTCTTGGTAGTGGAGGAAGCTTTTAATTCGCATAGCATTTCCTGTTTAAAAATATATTATCATGAATGATTCGTAACTCGTGCCGTCATTTTCCCGCATTCTCTGTTAATCGAAGTCAATGACAGCTTTAGCCGGTTTAAAATTCAATAACATTTCAATCATTAGTGAATAAATAAAAATTATAACAATACAGTGCGAGTAAATTATGCAGTGTTTTCTGGGAAACGAACAGTTCTTATCAGTTCGCGGGTGCTCATCCTGAAGCATGTGATGGAAAAGTCCTGCGTAAATGGCCTTAGGGGACCGAAAGTACTCGATTACTATTAACTTTAAAGATCGTTGAAAGAATTGAGCGGAATCTAAAAGAACCTGAAACTCGCAGAAAACTCACGGATCGGTGGGGCAAGGCTCGATTTTGTCGCGGTAAGCAGACACCAGCCGTGCGAACGGGTGACGCACGTTAACAACCTTCGTGTAGCTCGCGAGTTGTTGCAGAATGTCAAGCCTGGGTGTTACAGGATGTGTTAAATTCGTGAAACTTCCAGCGAAAAAATGACTCGACATATGCCGTTACAATTTTCAGAGAGATGAATTTCTTATTGTATTGAAGACAGAAATTTCAACCAAAATCAAAGTGTTGAATTGAAGAATGTAACTCCCCAGTGTACTTGAAAGCTTGACATCAAAGCTCTCGTGCTCTCCGGTCAGCTTGTAGTGTATAAAAAAATATGATGCATGTAGCTCGATCTGTATAAAATGTAATCGTATCACATTTCCATATCAAATGGTAAGCTACATAACTGATTAAATTTACAAACTAATCAACTAGCAAATCATTCAACTGAATCATGACATTTAGGTGGATTTACACTGGTAAGGGGTTTTCACAAAATTGCTTCTCTTGCCTCTGCGGCTGAGATACCAACTGCCGTAGAGCGATCAGGTGAACTTTAGCGTTGCTTGTATTGAAGTACGAAGCGTTAGGGAAGGCGTGTTTCAGAAGGTAATGGCACCACGAGGTCGTGCCAACCTGATAAAGGAGTACAAATATCAACATCACTATAACCCTTTCTTCAAGTTCTATTGTATCTGAAATTGTCAGTACCAGAACCTGAACAGAGTTATTCAATATATGACTCGATGTGTTTGATGTGTTTGATAAACTCAGATATGTGACAAACTCTCGTATATTGCAAGTCGCAGTCACCAGTGAGATTTCGAGGTGCTTCAAGTTCATAGAATGATCTCCTACGAAAACTAAATTGAATATTGAATAAGGGGTTTACAGAGCAGTGAAATACATTCAACTTCTTCAACGCTATTTCTCCCGAAAATGGAAAATTAATCTCTCTTGAAAATGGAAATAATGAGCTGTCGACAATCACGCTTGGCACAAACCTTAGCTGAGAAGCAGACTACGAGCCGTTCCCGGTTGAGCCACCGCAGCTGCGCTCTGGGAGCCGCCGCGACGCCCCCAAACGACGTCTGGTTGCGATGCTCGTGGCAGACGCGCTCGAGTCGCGCCCGCCTCTCCGCGTACAACGCCTTTGATGAGTACATGAGTAAATTATATTATGTCTCACGATTTTCAATTTTTTTCGATAATACGCTCAAATTTAATTCGACTAATAGATATTACAATTTTCATCTGTACATTTTCAAAAAACAAGCGGAAAGTAAATAACACGTAAGTGCAAGACAGCTTGTGCTTAACCTATTCTGTTCCCTTAAATACCTTACGAAAATGGAGGTAACTTTCCTCATGCTGCTCACCTCCCGTCCGACATCATCTAAAGACCCATTTCTGAACTCCTCGACATGATGCAGCAGAAGCTCCAGACCTGGCGTGGCCTGCAATTCTTTGCTTGCCGTATATATGCCACCAACTAAAATTTCGGAATCCATTGAATTCTTCAAAATTTCTTTTGTCTTTATAAGAGAAGGAATTTCTGAATAAGCTTGAAGTGTAAGCTGGTGTGGATGACTCAGAATTTTGAATTTTTCTTGGTACATCTGAAGAAAATAGAATTTTATTATTAATTTTAATTTATACAAGATTTCTCGTGTGTTTTAACGATGATCATACGTAGAGTAATAAGCTTTTTTTTTCTTGGGCCGTCCCGCTCATTCAATATAGCGGTTTCAACGTTTATTAGGCCGTAGGCCTGTCGCCGATTCTGAACATCGCAGAACATTCACAGCATTTTGCGGCCTCGAACTCGCAACTCACTGCTACAATTCTGTTGTGCTTAGCCGCCCGGCCTCCTTGCCGATTCTGACCAGAAACGCGCACAGAGCTGGGATCGAACCCGCACCTCTCTGCGCCAATCTTGGCACTCTGAACTTTAACCACTGGGCCACGTTAACCTTGTTAACGTGAATGGCATACTTTCGTAGACATCAGTCGTGTTCTTCCACAGAAAACAAGAATCAAGTAAAATTTTAATGACTAATCTGTTGCAAGTTTCTTCACAATTGACGCATGACGAAAATAAATCAGATACATAGAACAGAAGATTCGTGCGAACAAATATCGTATGTTTTATACTTTAATGTGATTTGTTTTTCAAACATTCAAATTCAAACTGATTTTTCATCAACATCTATACATATGCATAGATTGTGTATAAATTTAATAGGACGCAGGCTTACCAAGAATAATCAGTCAAATTTAAACAATCTCTCCGAATAATCATTCTTTCCGGAGAAAATAAATGTATAAATTTAATAGGACGCAGGCTTACCAAGAATAATCAGTCAAATTTAAACAATCTCTCCGAATAATCATTCTTTCCGGAGAAAATAAATGTATAAATTTAATAGGACGCAGGCTTACCAAGAATAATCAGTCAAATTTAAACAGTCTCTCCGAATAATCAGTCTCTCCGCAGAAGTTACCTCGTACGTGAGAGAGAACACGAGAACTCCAACGAGGACGTACAGTAACTTGGCAGAGTCCATTCCTCCAAAATGTTACATGCGTCCCTGGAACTTAGTTTAATTTCAACTCTGTGGAAACTATACAGTGTGGGAATGATTGAAACCTTTGATTTATACAAACTATCTTATACCTGTAGAAATTTTCAAACGTACGTCGGTTTCAGGATATGTTTGCAGATTAATATTATTCGTGTGGATTAAATTGATAAAAGATTGCCTATCTGTTATTAACACAATTCTATTTCTACATAGATAGTAGCAATGAAATTACAGACAAATTTATGTAATTCTATTTCTGACGTTGAGAGGGTTTTCCCGTAATATTTGTACGCAGAAGCAAAAATTAACGAATAAGTTCGCTTCCATTCAACGCTTTCGCTGTGTTCATCAGCTCTGAGCACAGAATGCCCAGCTGGCAGCCTTAATCAATGTATATTTTTTGTAAAAATGTAATCAGCAATGTATTCTTTTGAAATAAATCAAACCCAATCGCAATCGATAAAATGTTTCAAGTAACAGGCGAAATAGAGAGTTTCACGCAATATTTATCATGCAAAGATTTTTACTTGAATTAATATACTTTAGGAAGCTTAGTTATTGTTAAATTTCCAAGTTTAGAACAATTTGAACGTTGTTTTACCATTTCTTTGAAACTGTTCTCGATGCTGGTTTTTCAATTTCCCATTCGTCATTTCCTTGAAAATTTTATTAACTATCTTAAATTGTTGGCAGAAGAACGAAGTCACCAACCATGCTTTTGGGTTCAATAAAATTTTTTCTTGAATGAGCTTCGGTAGTTACCGACACATTTTTCAATTATGTCTTGTGATAGAGCTTCTGAGACTGAGAGAGATTCATGTTCTGGTAACCAAGCAAGATTTAACGGTCGGCCTGTTGCAACACAACCTGCCAATGAGAGAGATTCATGTTCAGATATACAAGCAAGACTTCCATGTTCGGCCTGTTGCAACACAACCCTGCCACTGAGAGAGATTCATGTTCAGATATGCAAGCAAGACTTCCATGTTCGGCGTGTTGCAACACAACCCTGCCACTGAGAGAGCTTCTTGTTCAGATATGCAAGCAAGACTTCCATGTTCGGTGTGTTGCAACACAACCCTGCCACTGAGAGAGCTTCTTGTTCAGATATGCAAGCAAGACTTCCATGTTCGGCGTATTGCAACACAACATGCCGCTGAGAGAGCTTCTTGTTCAGATGCAAGCAAGACTTCCACCACAGGTGCACTAAGACGACAGGTGCCTCTTCACCTGACTCGTGTCATGAAATGAGGAATGGAGCGCAAGACAGCGGTTTCGTATTCAAAGTTGAATCATTGCAACAGAGTAGCTATTAATTGGAAGAAGAAAATAACAAATGATCAGTGACTTATGTTGAAATTATTAAAATAATTGCAAGAAATTTATCTCAATAAATGTTCTGGAGTGCGGCATGACGGCTTTATATCACTCTGTTAACATGCGCAGTAGAACTCTGCTACACTGCATGTACAGTGTTTACTATATTGATATAGTTTGTTAGAAGCTGTTCCGTTTTACAAGATTGATAAAAGATTGGAAAATTTAATCTACTAACAATCTTCTTGTTCTTTTTCTCAATTAGTCGAACGATATTTTTCGCTTGCGTGGGAAGATCGAATAGCCGGTTTTCAAAAGTGGGAACAATGGAGAACTAACTAACTCAGTGAATAAAGTACCCTAGAGTTGTCCCATTCGCTCATTAAAAGCGTGTTTAGAAGTTTTGATGCCGCTTATGAATTTTAATAAGTTAATATCCGTTTATTCAATTTTGATTGTACTCAGTTTGTCGGGTTCAGCTCGGTAATTGAGTTTGGAGTTAGTCGAACTTGAGACTCACCTCGATCCACTATACGGTACAGGATACGCTGCATGCGAAGACATCATCCTTATAAGAACCGGATGAAACTCGCTTAACCACAAAGTATTATAATCATATCGCCCCATACCACAGCTAAACAAATGGCTAACTATAACCAACGCAATAAAATTCAAATTAATTCTCACTGAAGATAATTAATTTTATTAATTAGTTAGTACAAGCGATACTTTTAATAAAAATTTTAAAATCTTGTTATAAGAACGGTAAACATACCAAAAAACCGAGAAATTTTCATTACGATGCACAACGGCAATAAAACAGCTAAACAGGTATCACGATTTTCTCGTTTCCTTCTTCGAAATTTCTTAAAAAAGACACCTGACATTGTCATATTTTTTAAGCACAGAGCATGCAGTAAATTATTCATATGTAAGTGCATTTCAAGTTGTATTTATGAAATATGCTAAAATAAGATGAGCTTTATAAGTGTACATTACACATGCTCCGGCTGCTTAATTATTACCGATGGACGGCTCAAGCGGTTGACTTGTTTTCGATTTTCAGTGACCTGAGGAAAAATTAGAACCATTTTAAGGTACACAAGAATTTAATAAATGCTCCGCCTGCTCCAGATAAAGCCTTATTCAAATTTATTAAGTTTGAACTATATTTGCTTACTTCCGAGCCTATTTTGCTGTTCTATCTTTGTTTTACTTTGCATATTGCTAAAAATCTTACTAAATTCTGGCATTTATGAACCACGTATCCTTTCTGATTAGAATCTCAAAAATTCAGAAACGTTTACTACAGAATTGCCGATATGAAAACTCATAACCATAATCGGTTTGCATTTGATTTTCAATGCAAAATTTATGGAATTAAACATAATTGACATCTTGAAACAGCCTCCGTTCTAGTTTATTGTTTACAATTGTTTAGCTAGCACAAATATGCGTCGACTTGATCTTACATCTAAACCTTCAACATTTCATTTAAAAATTATATCACAGCCTATGTTCGCTGAGGGCATGTTTTTTCCTATTATCGAGCTACGTAATAAATAGACTATCACAGCATCGCAATCCAGATTTGCTTTAATTTATTGGTGGGGAGAAAAGTCTCTTATCACAGTTAATAATGATCTAATTAACTTTTTATCGAATATCTGTTGATTCAAGTGTATGTGCGGTCTCACAAAGAGAGAGAAGTACAATTTATCTCATATGATAATTTTCAAAATGGATTTTTATGTATCACATTAGTACCGAATTTACCCCTAAATAACACCCATCCACCACTCACCACATTAAGGGGGCAGTAAGATCTCTGCCAGGCCCAGGTGTTCTCGAGGTTTTTAGGCACGAGGTGGTCGACGGGCTCCAGATGAAGAATCGACCTCTGCCCAGCGAGTCTCGTGAATTTTAAGTCCCACCAGCGTTTTCTAAGCACACACCTGCAGTTTAAAATTAAATTCAATATTCCAGATCATTTTAAGTTAATTCATCGCTGTAAATACTAATAAAATACGTTCATCATTATAACTGCCAAAAACAATTTACCTAATTGAATTGTAATTACGTTCACGATCAATCAATATGCAAGCAGTGGTAAGCACCAAGAATTCCTTAAACTGGAAAAAAGCAAATGTTAAACTATCTATCAAGCCGGCTAATTTTCTCATTGATGAACTCAAGTTTCAAGTAGCTATATATTGAGTCCGATTCTAAACTAGCTGACTTTTCCAGCTTTAAAGCACCAAGTGGCAATGTGAAATATGAGACTAACGTTGTCTAACTATTATTTATGAAAAAAGTATCTTTATATCGTAAATCACTTTAAAAACATTAAATTCGATTTCTAGGGACAAGCTCAATTGTTAGTTTAGGATCTCTGTTGTGTCGTCTCCGGTGACAGACGCATTTCAGAATTTTGGAATTGCATTGAAATCTTTTGTAACATTTTTCATGGCTTTTTGCTTGCCTATAATAAATACCCATGACCTTATTGATTATTATTTAATCTATATTATTTAACTTAATTCTTTTTATATATAAGTGCAGTCTGTACCACTTTAATGGAATTGCTTTCATAATGTGTTATCTTTTAGAAATAATTTAGCAGTTTTTTTAGTTATTTCTCAATTCATAATTACAAGAATGTGAAGAATAGAAAAGTAAATTTCGTGTCGCTGTCAATATGAGTGGCGGCGATTGTACATTTTCATGGCAAAACCTGCAAAATCTGCAATGACGAACCCATTTGCACGTCTTCTGGACCCGTGTCGTTAACTCTGCATTTCTCGGGGTCTCGGGGTATTCGGCAACCAAATACTTGTTGGGATAAACATGCGTAGTAGGAACCGCCTTATCAACCCTCTTGAATACCTGTTGGGATAAACTTTCTTAGTAGCTGGCAGGTAACTGACGCTAACTGTCAGTACAGAAATCAACACCTATATGCCAAGAAGTTAAAAATACAATATAAGAAAAGAATCATTGCTCATTTGCAACTTAGGAACCAGTTAACCTAAAATTTTAATTCTATTAATCAACTTTCTAACACCCTTGTCTCGCATAACGAAGTCAAAATCAGCTTTCGAAATCCTCCCTCAGCAAAAGAGTGATGCAAATTTTTACTTTAAAAACAGTTTAAATATTTCGAATACGTTGATGAAATATTCCGAAAATATTGTAGAAATATTCCGAAAACATTGTTGAAATATTCCGAAAACATTGTTGAAATACTCCAACAAGGCAAGCAAGAAATTTCTTTATTTAGAGAATATCATCATCAACGTCAATATTAATCTACTCACAGGCTGCCATACTGAAGAGCTGAAGCAGAAATCAAACTTGCTTATATTTTTAATAAATCCAACGAATGGATACGGTAAAGTTAACTCGTGCGCTATGGCAATATATATTTCTTCGGCTTGTAAGAAGTGATCGCCATGTGTTTTCTTTCATTGATGGATGTTCCAGCAGATAAATTTTTTCAACTTACCGTTGTATCGATTTACTGAACGCACTAGTTACTTTACAAAACCTGAACGGATCATTTAACACTGCAATATCACTTTCAAAATGCGTTCGCTTTCATCGGAGAGAGTTCTGCATTTAAGACCAACACATCCCACTTCAAATTTGTCACTGCGCTTCGTCATCACATGAGCCTAGCAGATGTTTCCTTGGCTGCTCAGATGGTGGGGGCTCGAAAATTTAGATCGCTTATCGTTTGACTGATATTCGTGATAATAATTGTTGCAATAATTTTATGCATGTTAATTTCAGCTCGGCAAGATAAAGATCAATTTAATTAAAATCGTTATACATGAACGAGAGAACGTAGGTACCGCTAATCATTAAATTGAGTTTATTAATTAATTAACGACAAACAGTTTCCACATACAGCGTTTGCAGTTTTCAATGCGTCATCTAAGCTATTAGTAAAATAATAACGCAAGTAGTTTGTATGCCAGGTGAAACTGTAAATAATATTCGATATTTTTAGGAGAGCCAATTGCCTGCTTTTATCATATCGGGAGAATTGCCACTTGCAGGTGCTAAAACTTGCCGACGAGCGGTAGGAAGGAATTTACAGCGGAAAAAATCAGTCATCAGTCACGCTCACCAGTCACAAAAAAACAGTCATCAGTCACGCGCATCAGTCACAAAAAACAGTCATCAGTCACGTGCACCAGTCACAAAAAAATCAGTCATCAGTCACGCGCATCAGTCACAAAAAACACTCAACAGTCACGCGCATCAGTCACAAAAACAGTCATCAGTCACGCGCATCAGTCACAAAAAAACAGTCATCAGTCACGCTCAGCAGTCACAAAAAACAGTCATCAGTCACGCGCATCAGTCACAAAAAACAGTCATCAGTCACGCGCATCAGTCACAAAAAAACAGTCATCAGTCACATGCAGCAGTCACAAAAATCAGTCATCAGTCACGCGCACCAGTCACAAAAAAAAACAGTCATCAGTCACATGCAGCAGTCACAAAAAATCAGTCATCAGTCACGCGCATCAGTCACAAAAAACAGTCATCAGTCACATGCAGCAGTCACAAAAAAATCAGTCATCAGTCACGCGCACCAGTCACAAAAAAAAGTCATCAGTCACATGCAGCAGTCACAAAAAAATCAGTCATCAGTCACGTGCATCAGTCACAAAAAAAGACGTCACACGTAGACAGCGATCAGCATGCTCGTTCATAGCTAGCGAAATCATGAGCTGCACATTGTTTTCGTTCGTATTCAGCCTTTTATGTTCCCTGCAATTATCGTCGCACTCAGAAAACGAATGCGTCATGCCGTCCAAATAGTGACTCAGTTTCTACCCGTACTACTGATACGCTCTTTGGTCATGCCAAACTGGGTCAAGATGACCCACACAAGTGCAAAAATGCATCGCTATTTCGACAATGTGTCAATCATTTCCCTGAGTGAGGCATTTCTCTTCTGCCGCGCCGCGCTCATTGTCGGTCTCCGTGCCCTAAAACACTGGCGCCGCGGCCTTAATTTTTCACTCGATCGAGTAAATCAGTGGACAGATGCTTTATAACTGGAAGTTCTGCCAGTTAGGCTGTTTGTTAATTGATAATAAAATGTTACTATGGGTATCGAACAGCAGTTTGGGAAATTTTAATTACGTAAAGGAGGTTCGTCTCTGAGTTTCAGATATTGTAATCCTACCAATTTCCAGTTTTTTCAAGATTTCGAATGAGAGGATTGTACATCATGAGAAGCAAAAGATTCTGGCCCTGTGTAAAATAAGAGTTGTTTTGCATGACTTGGTTCACAATCATGCGGTATTTCCGTGGCTGAAATTGAGACTCAATTTAAAGTCTGATAGTGTAAATGTTTTAGCCATCAATATATTCAATCCACATCCTTGAGGTGAGTTCTGAGTTATACTTTTTACAACACTTCTCTTTAACTTCACTTCTTGTTGTTTGTCTGCTACAAATCTTGTAATCAAAATTTAACACACTTCTACTTATTCTATCGATCTGAAATTTTGCACACTTGTGTAAAGTTGGAGACAATGCATGAATCAAATGTCAAAATGAATTATTTTAAAAATTAAAAAAAAATTTCAATATTAAAAAATTGAAAAAATAATTTTGTCAGCTACAAATCTTATAACTGATATTTGACACTCTTTTACCTGTCTAATTGATCTGAAATTTTGCACACTCGTGTGAAGTCAGAGGCAATGCACGAATCAATTAACAGAATAAATAACTTTAAAAAATTTTATATATTAAAAAAATTTTATATATTAAAAAAATGAAAAATTATTTTATTTTAATATTCGAAAATTAAATGAGAAATTTATTGTACATCTGTAAGATTGGAGACACTGGATTCTTTGTAAATGTTTATTATTACAACACTTCTCTTTAACTTCACTTCTTGTCTGTTTGTTTGTCTGTCTGTTACAAATCTTATAATCAATATTTAACACACTTCTACCTGTCCAATTGATCTAAAATTTTGCACACTTGCGTAAAGTTGAAGACAATGCATTAATCAATTAACAGAATAGATAATTTTGAAATAAAATAATTTTTTAATTTGAAAAATTGAAAAATAATTTTTTCTTCTACAAATCTTATAATCAATATTCAACACACTTCTACCTGTCCAATCAATCTGACATTTTGCACACTTGTGCAAAGTTGAAGACAAGGCATGAATCAATTGACAGAATAAATAATTTTAAAATTTTAATTTTTATATATTAATATTAAAAAATGCAAAATTATTTTGTATTAATATATGGGAGTATAATTAGAAATTCATTGTAGATGTGTAACATAGGAGACGCTGTATTCTGTAGAAGTGTTGTCCTTAAAAGTAATTTTTAAACGCATATTATTGTATCTGTGTTACACGATATTGCCATTAAAATAATAAGCTCATCACATACATGCACACGTTGATGAAAATTTTTCATGTGAGAAATTTATCAATTAAAAAATTGTTTCCTCTTTTTTTCTGCTCTAATTTTCATCTTAGTTCTGGACTGCTTCGATGCTTTTTCTCGTATTTATTCGATGTCCAGCACTCTTAAAAAATTTCAATACGAAGTCATATGCTAGACTCCTCCAATGCGAAGCTGCCGTGCGAAATTATTCATAATTTCATTTTAAAACCGAGCCACTGCCTCCAATTACACATCTGCTGGCACCTGCCGCAGGAAATAAATCTCTGCAGAACACTTGCGGCATGCGATCCGAGAGAAATGCGGTCTATGCGAACGAGGAGCATTCGGTTCAGTTTCAGTTAAATTGTGAAATTACAGGCGTTTTCGAATGAGCAATAACTTGAATGCTATATAACAAATATTTTGTGCGAGCAACAGTATGTGATTCCCCCTCATAAAATCGCATAAATGAATCCGTTATGCTCTTTTCTCAATCATGTGATACAGTATAATCTTAATGAATTACGTATGTGTCTTAACAATATGTAATTAAAATCGATCATTTGAATAAATGGATTATTCACATGAATTCCAGTTTATAGAGTAGTGCTTTGATGTGCTAGCACCTGGAACTCTGTTGAAAAAAAAACGTTGATGTTTCTGTGGGGCTCGAGTCTACGTGTAGCGCAGTGATGGATTTGAAGCGTGAAGATCATTAGTTTAGAACTCGCTCCGACGTATATATACTCCATACTTTTGACAGCAACAAAATTTTGTATTGCAACATCAAATAGCATTAATTTTTTACAGTAAAAAAATTCATTTAAGTACATTTATAAAAATGATTGAGTGGTAAAATATAAAATAATCTTGAGTGTTGTACAGTATAACAGTGATTCACTGAATATACGTTCTTTAAACAGTTAGACCATCCGCCAATTCTGAACATCACAAAACATGCACAGCTTGTTGCTAGTTTCGAACACACAACTCCACGCAAGTCACTACCACAAATTTGCATTGCTTAACCGTCCGGTCTCTTTGCTAATTTTACCAGGGGCCATACCTTCAAAATTCGCTAAGTGAACGTAAGTACTTACGTTCTATTTTCTTGTCTATGATTGGTGGATTTTGCTTGAAAGGCTGTCAATAATTGGCTGATGAACTTACGATCTCTTAACTTTTTTTGAAAGGCCCAGAACTGTAGCAGGTAGCTGGGATCGAACCCTAGCTCACAGCTCCAGCCTTGGTGCTTTGAGCTGTCACCACTGAGCCGCCCTGAACAACAAATGGTAATAATCTTTAAAAATAATTTGAATTATTTCAACACTGTTTCGTATAAGCATTGATGCGAAGAAGCAGAAATACAGAAAACGTTATTTTCCTACATCATTCTTGCGAGCAAATACAATTGGTCGTCGTCGTACAAACCATTCTAGTGAATTGTCAAGTTTTTTTGTGGCTAGTAATATATAGCGGTGTGATGGCTCAAAGAACACCAATATTATAGTGTATCTGCTCCGACTCGAATAAATATTTTACCATAATAATGGTAAACCATAATAATAAACAAACAAATACATGAATATCAACCGTGTGTTTACTTAGCTCATGTCCTAACTTCGGATTCAAGATTCAGAGCAGTTCTGCAAACTGTAAAAATAAGCAAATTACGGAGAGGTATTTATCTAACTAACAAAACGGTATAAAACGCAAAGCAAAAAACACCACTAAATTGACACATAATCATCACAAATGAACAGACCAAAGTACTACCATATACCTCCGTGGTGGATCAAGAAGCAATGAAAAACTAAATATAGCATGTCTACACGAGGTCACTTCAGAGACCTAACAAATCCGAAAATACATAATACCTAAACCAAAATCAGGAAACACCTAACATACAATAAGCAATATTGAACTGCGTTCCCTAAAATTTTGCACAAAACTTTAATAAAAACTGTCACAATTAAATCCTCAAATTACAATAAAATAACATAAAGGTTTCCTAAATGAGAAGGTTGAAGAAACTCGTTGAAGATGATGCGTGATGCCATTCCTAATTAGACGAAATTTTACACCGATAAAATCATGTTGCTCTCAAATCTCCGCTGTAAACTTAATAAACTATTTCGCGCATTAATTAAGTAGTACACTTTATATTAATTACATGGCGAGCAGCTATCACACGGATCCATGATTTCCAAATCATACATCATTGCAGATATTCATCCAAAGAATAGTCGAACATTTCGAAGTCAATCTTGTAGATCTCGTAGAGCTGCAGGATGAGTGGCCTGGGTAACGTCTGCTCACAGAAATCCGTAATATTGTGATATATAAAAAATTTGGTAATAAAAAAATATTAATACAAATGAAAATTTTTTAGAAGTTTATGGAAAAACGAGTTTGATGTAAAACCTACAGAAATGGTAGTCAGCCGGCATGAATTTTCAAATAATTCTAATATTGTTTTCTTTATTGGAAATTTTTGAGTAAGGTTTCTGAGACCTCAGAAACCTTTCGTGTTACCTAATGTATTCATATTATTGCGATGTTTACTGTATAACAATGCTCTTTCTATCTCAACACTCGTAATATACAACAATTTTTCTGTTTGAATTCTGTCTTTTCTGTTTGAATTTCTTAACAGAATCATAAAACAATGAATTAGGATCCACAATAAATATTATCATTAGTATTCACCGCACGGAGTATTGCATCTCACCTTGAAGTATCGATATGACGCGTTGGTCGAGTTCAACGCGTTGCCGTGCACATCGTCTCCGGCTGCGATGTTGAATTTCGGCAGCAGGTACCTGTTGACATAAACAATATCTAACGAATGTAACAATCATCTATAAAGTCATTTATTATTGATTGTCATTACCAGTCATTGTCAGCTGAAGTGTGCAAGTTGCAGCTCGAGTTCACTTCTTCCTGATGTATTTCGCAAGTTTGTTGCCACATGATAACTTTTTTTAACTTTTCTTCACTGGCACATGAGAACTGTTGTTTTAGCCTTTACGCACCTGAGATCCTCGTTCCATGTTTCCATTTTAATGATGTATTTGTAACTCAGATCACACACTCCGCAGTTGAGGAAATACGGACGCCAGTGAACGTCATAGGAGTTGAACGAACTTCTGTCAGCAACGACCGGAACTTTGATTTTGTCGATCAGAAACTGGACAAAATCCTTGAAATCCAGCATTGTTGGTAGTGGAGGACGCTTCCGATTCGCATAGCATTTTCTGTTTAAAAATAGATTATCATGAATGATTTGTAACGCGTGCCGTCATTTTCCCGCATTCTCTGTTAATCGAAGTCAATGACAGCTTTTGCTGGTTTAAAATTCAATAATATTTCAATCATTAATGAATAAATATAAATTTTAACAAAAACAGTGCGAGTAAACTCTACAGTATTTTCTGAAAAACGAACAGTTCTGATCAGTTCGCGGGTGTTCATCCTCTAGCATGTGATGGAAAAGTCCTGCGAGCGTAAATGGCCTTAGGAGATCGAAAGTACTCGATTACTATTAACTTTAAAGATCGTTGAAAGAATTGTGCGGACTCTTAAAGAACCTGAAACTCTCAAAAAACTCACGGATCGGTGCTGCAAGGTTCGATTTTATCGCGGTAAGCAGACACCAGCCGTGCGAACGGGTGACGCACGTTAACAACCTTCGTGTAGCTCCCGAGTTGTTGTAGAATATCAAGCCTGGGTGTTGCAGGATATGTTAAATTCGTGAAACTTACAGCGAAGAAAAGACTCAACTTATGTTGTTACAATTTTCAGAAAGATGAATTTCTTATTGTATAGAAGAAAGAAAATTCAACTAAAATCAAAATGTTGAATTAAAGAATATAACTTGTCAGTGTACATGAAAGCTTGACATCAAAGCTCTCGTGCTCTCCGGTCAGCTTGTAATGCATACAAAAATATGATACATAAATATAGGTATAGCTCGATCTGTATAATAAGTCATCGTATCACATTTCCATATCAAATGGTAAGCCACACAACTGATTAAATTTACAAACTAATCAACCAGCAAATCATTCAACTGAATCATGACACATTTAGGTGGATTTACACTGGTAAGGGGTTTACAATATTGCTTCTCTTACCTCTGAGGCTGAGATACCAACTGCCGTAGAGCGATCAGGTGAAGTTGTGCGTTACTTGTATTGAAGTACGAAGCGTTAGGAAAGGCGTGTTTCAGAAGGTAATGGCACCACGAGGTCGTGCCAACCTGATAAAGGAGTACAAATATCAACATCAACTTAACCCATTCATCACGTTTTATTGTATCTCAAATTCTCAGTACTAGTACCTGAACAGAGTTATCAACATATACTATAACTAGATGTGTTTGATAAACTCAGAAATGTGACACTCTCGTTTATGGCAAGTCGTAGTCATCAGTAAGCTTTCGAGGTGCTTCAAGTTCATAGAATTATCACCTAAGAGAACAAAATTTTAATATTGAATAGGGGGTTTTCAGCGCAGAGAAATACATGCAACATGAAATACATGCAACTGTCTCCCGAAAAGGGAAATTAATTTTCTCTCGAAAAAGGAGATAGTGATCTGTCGACAATCACGCTCGGCACAAACCTTCGCCGAGAAGCAGACTACGAGCTGTTCCCGGTTGAGCCACCGCAGCTGCGCTCTGGGAGCCGCCGCGACGCCCCCAAACGACGTCTGGTTGCGATGCTCGTGGCAGACGCGCTCGAGTCGCGCCCGCCTCTCCGCGTACAACGCCTTCAGTGGCGAATTGAGTGATAGTATTAATGTATGTTATAGTTCTTAGATTTTGGTCATCTTAATCTGAATTAAATTCGACGTATAAAATCATAATATGGATATGAATACCCACTGTGGAACTCCACTTCTAAGAAGCTCCTGCAGGACATCGGCATATGAGTCGAACAAAATAATTGTATACTAATTTTAGGCGCTGGGAAGCTTTTATTTCACCCACACCAGTAGGCAATGCAGTCGTGGGCATCAAATTCAACTATGAAATTAGCCTTAGAGGTTGGAGCCAACTTCCAGCATCAGCATACAATAACTGATGTGTGCTCGAGTCTTTTCAGCCTCTCGGCATTGACTTTATTCGTTGTAGACTTTCATAATTTATATATAAATGCCCACAATAATTTAATTTTTTTAATTCATAACTCTCCACTTACAAAATTTGACGTGCTAGGCCGCTCGCTCACCTCCCGTCCGATGTTGTCCCCAGTTTTCGGTTCATCATCAAGGTACAGTGGAAGCTTCGGACTTGGCTGGCCCTTCACTGCTTCTCTTGTCTTTTGGTCGCCAACAATTCCTTTGGAAGTCATTATACTTACGGACAAATTCTTCATTCTTGCCGCCGCATTCAAGGATCGAGTTTCAAACCCACCTTGTTTTATAGAAGTGTGTGGCTGAGTAAGGATCATGCGTTTCACTTGATACATCTGGAAATATGAAAATTTTGCACTAGACACCTTCAATCTCTTCAATCATCACTCAGTTCTGTAGATGATCTTACTCTTGCACTAAGGAACAGTCCTTGATTGCGATGCCGATATTGCTTCGAATTAAATCTAAATTTTGTAAACAAAGTATAAATAATTATAAACTTAAGCACCCAGCTGAACCCTGATTGGTGTGTCCAAGTTTGTCCGATAAAAATTTTCATCAAAAAAAAATCTACCGAAATGCCAAGATATGGTACGGTGATTCCCGCTAAAAACTTTAAATATTAAACATAATCAAAATAGCATATATCACAAATTTAACTTATATTATTAACACTAATATTATATATTATCAACCGCAGCCACCCATCATAGCTAAATGAACTGTGTGTAAAATGTTACTTGGTTACTATTATATACCAGCTGTAATTTGGCATTTAATAGTTATCAAAATTTTAGCTCAATGATGTCAGGAATTTACCTGTAGCAAGAGAGGCAGCGAGAGAACCGCAAGGAAGAAACACGTGAACTTGGCCGCCCCCATTCGTCTTGAGTTTCACGGTTTCGTATCAGGAAATCTCAAACGAACAATGCTTTCAGTTTTGAAATCCAGAAACAATTTTATCAAGATAATACGGGTGATCGAACATGTCAACTTTTGTGTCTCTTCTTCAACACTACAATCATCTCAATAAAGAACAAGAGGGTCAGATGCTGATCAATTAACACCAGATTAGCGTAAGTGGTTAAGTAGCAAGTCCATTGGGAGGAGCACCGGGTTAACTTGGCGTGTAAATTATATATTTATCACTTATATCTTCCTCGGCGGCACCGGATAACCTGATAAGTTAATCTTATGTCTTTCTCCAACAGGTTCTTGAAATACGACCGGCTAACCAGCTACTTCAATTACATATCTCTGAAACTTCGTGAGGAACGCACAGCTTGATGCTTCGCGGTGAAATTTTTTTATATAAAAATCTACAGAATTTTCAGACAATCATGGAACATGTATTATTATTTGTTGCTTCACATTCTCAGCTGGGACAAGAGCCACTGGTTCAGGTGTACAAACTCCACTCCCAACACAGGTGCACTGAGCAGACTCAGCTGACTCGATCGTATTATGACCAAGAAATACAGTGTAGTATAGCAGCATAATGAGCCACTAAGATTAGAACAGGACAGCTGTGTACTCAGTGGATGAAGAGTATTTCTGTGTAACTGAATATATTGAATAATGGAAGAACGGAATAGGACAGCTTTGTATTCAGAGGATGGTGAGTGTAACTAAGTAGCGTAGCTTAGTTTTGAGTATGAGAATAACGTTGCAGGACAGCTGTGTATTCAGAGGATGGAGCTGAGTAGCTTCGTAAATATAGTATAGAAAGTAGATCTTTTGGACAGAAAAATAATAAAGCATACCGCAGCTATAATTATTTCCTTACTGAATACTGCGTCCATTGAAGCAAGTTTTGACTTAAATAAATCTGCTGTATACACGAGCTACGGTATACAGCAATAGGCGTATAGTGTGCGCTGGGTACTCGTTGCTGCAATAAATGGGATAAACTAAAACTAATTTGCATTCGACTATTTACGGTAATATAAAGTTATTCTTGACTGCTAAGAACTGAGAGCACTGAACTGTTCTGTGCTCAGAAGTTCCGTAGATCCAGGGCGTAGTGCAACCAGAAGAGCTTGCCTAGAACTAGTTTATTTAACGGTGGATTGTGTGAACCACAAGCAACTGATGATGCAACGAATTGAATATGCATGAGAAATTTCGTCTATTGATGAATGATGTAAAATGGTTGCAACACTTCATATGCTTGAATTTCATAATTTATTTTTCGAGTTTGAGTATTAGTTTGAGTTCGCAATAAGAAAGGGGAGCATCTTAGGACTGATGGAAACAGTTCTATAAGATGACACATCCGAGAGCCAGCGGCACTCAATAACAACTCCCTAAATCATTTTTTTCTTCTTGTTGAGACGGCTTTTCGAAACAACAAGTTTATTGACCTAATTACTATTATCCTAATAATTTTCAGTCGAACCTTTCAACAAAACTTGAGATGGAAATTTTCGAATTCTATGTACAATTGGAAGTGCCTGAGAGTCTGCAGCGGCAAAAACGAATAGCAAGACCCTAAAGACATTATAGCGGTGAAACCATGTGAGGTGTGCGCATCCCTGATAATTCTACACCAATACCCATACAAAAACATTTCACTCACGCTCTTATGCTATTTGATGGGGCTTATCTGCAATATTTTCTATAATAAATCACACAAATTTCCTCAAATTTTTTTCAAAACATATTCGAAAATGAATATGCGCAATTATAAAAGCGATGAAAGAAACGCGCTTAGCGATGAAAGAAGGAATTATCTACTAAGTCTCATAGTTTTTTTCCTCATTATAGGAAAAATTAATATCATGCGCTAAACTTATTGACCCACATTCTACCGCCACGAGTCGAAGATGACCAGCGTTCCAGGTACGCGTTACGGTCCGCCGCAAGTTCGCTCACTAAGACCAAGCCCACTTGGGTCATGGAATTAATATGGATTTTTATGGATACACGCTGTAAAAAGACACAAGCAAAACATTTTAGTGTATGAATGATGGACCAGCAGGTCAAAACAAGATTCAGATGCAACACAAGTTCATGCATAAACAAGGGTTGTCAACCGCGACAAGACGCAAAATGTGCTTGAAGGAACTAATGGAATAGCACACGAGACTGTTCGAGAAAGTTTAATCAGGTTTTGAATGCCCAACAAAAAGAAAATATTTCTGTTCCTACCATTAGCATGCTGGTAGCAAGAAACAAATCTTGTCGTTGTAATTCCAACTCGCCCACCTTTAATTTGTTGTTACTATGTCGCTTCTCATTGAATTTGATTTGTAGTCTTGAATCTCACCTTCATATTATCATTTAGGCACACGATAAGACTGTGCGAGTGCAAATAAGGGCAAAAATTTAAAAAGACTTTACTTAAATGACTCAACTTCACCGCACTTCATGGTTAAAATGAAAAGTCGCGTCGCAATGTACATCGCCGTATACTAAAGAAGAACTCCTAAAATTACTCTCGAGGGTGTGAAAGCACTATATTACATTATTCTTATCGCAATTTTAATTACAATTTTCGGAATGTATTGCAATATCAGCTCCCAAATTTATTGTTAAGAGTTTTAAGCAACATTGTTGACATTGCTGATTAATTCGGCATACAATATTCGCCTTTAAACGCTTATTTCTGGAGATTTTTACAGAATATTCAGTTCACACACGTAGATAGACATTAAAATGTTCCTCTGCGCCTGACATGGCTGAGACATGGTGCTCCTCTGGCCTGACATGGCTAAGACATGCTGTTCCTCTGCGCCTGACATGGCTGAGACATGGTGCTCTTCTGGCCTGACATGGCTAAGACATGTTGTTCCTCTGCGCCTGACATGGCTAAGACATGCTGTTCCTCTGCGCCTGATATGGCTAAGACATGGCTAAGACATGCTGTTCCTCTGCGCCTGACATGGCGGAGACATGGTATACCTATGGCTCGACATGGCTGAGACAAGGTATACCTCTGGCCTGACATGGCTGAGACATGGTATACCTCTGCGCCTGACATGGCTATGACATGCTGTTCCTCTGCGCCTGACATGGCCAAGACATGGTATTCCTCAGTTCCGCATAAAGGTAATTACTGTCCAAAGGACCTCAGCAAGATAAAGGAACATGTGTTGGGGTGCGAGCGAACACCTGTGGCAAAGCAGCTGCGGACACGACGATGTCTGTGGATCCAAGTGGGATTCTTCTACAGCGTCTTCACGTCATTGATTGCAAATTTGTCTTAGGCGGCTCACAAGTTGGCATCTGCATGGCGTAATGAACTTGAAAGTTTCTTGAAGTCACTGATGAGTCTACACAACGCGTATCCATTCCACCACAGAAATAATCCCTATAAATAATTTGTTAATGTCGTTGAAAAAACTAAGCAGTCAGTATTCGAAAGGGTCAATAGTTGCAGGTCCAAGTAAACAGGAGATTCATCTGAACCACCGTTTAGTGTTACAAATACTAAACAGTCATATCTTGAGATTTGATAATGCCATTATCCCTAATTCCGTCGGTAATTTGGAAGATATTTCAATGTCATTAAACAATTGCTAAATAATTGCATTATATAATACCCATTAGGTATATGTCGCTGCAAAAAGTATCGTGGGGACGCACTCTAACAACCTCTAACCCAATATATATACAGGGTCCGCCAAAAAAACCTCCCTGATTTTAATAGGCTTTTGCAAAAATCATACGACACATACAAAACAATTAATTTTATTTGGGAATAGCTTATTTAATGCCATTTTATATTATTTAGTACACTTTACTTGGTTTTGAAAATTATGTTCGATAAGTGATGTCCCCCACTGTTAAGACATTCACGAAGTCTTTTCCTGAAGTTGCCCATAGTTCTTCGTATAAATTCCCTTGGAATGGCTGCCACTTCCTGCCTAATGGCATGTTTTAGTTCTTGCAGATTTCTGGGACGATGTTTGTACACTTCAACCTTTAGGTAGCCCCACAGAAAGACTCACACTGCTCGCCGGTCCATGGAAATGTTAAGAGAGTTGTTCGTTGGACGTCTTGTTTCTTTAAGAGGAGACATTTCCTGGCCCCCATGCACGGTCACCCGACCTATTACCTTGTGATTTCTTTCTGTGGGGCTATCTAAAGGCTGAAGTGTGCAAACATCGTCCCAGAAATTTGCAAGAACTAAAACATGCCATTATAGGCTGAAAGTGGCAGCCATTCCAAGGGAAGTTACACGAAGAACTATGGGCAACGTCAGGGAAAGACTTCGTGAATGTCATAACAATGGAGGACATCATTTATCGAACATAATTTTCAAAACCAAGTAAAGTGCACTAAATGATTTAAAATGGCATCAAATAAACTATTCACAAATAAAATTAATTGTTTTGTATGTGTCGTATGATTTTTACAAAAGCCTATTAAAATCAGGGAGTTTTTTTGGCGGACCCTGAATTAGGCGCCGGTCTTTAAACGCACACAAAAACAAATCGGCAAATAAGCTGCCCGGTCTTTCCTTAATTGATGTACGGCGTGTTCAAACTTATTTACTGGGTTTTGGTTGAAAGGATTTGGAATAGTGGGATTTTCAAATTGTATGTAGAATTTAACTCTGATAACGCCGGGCTGATTTTGTATAGTTACTTCAAGGGTTTGTTTAATTATGTGTTTAGAGCATAACTCACGAAGTTGCCAGGAGCGTTAAATATTAACAAAATGGGAAATTTTAAGTACCCAAATGCTGAAAATTATTAGAACATTAAAATATAATAATGCTGCTAACACTGCATAATACTGCATCACATATTAATGATACGTGATTACTGTACTGGATCTAGAAGTGATTTTTAACCACACAGAGGTTACTATAATTTGTAACAAGAACCAACGGGTCGCCTGCCGAAGACCACCACTGCCCTGGATGTAATGGACCATCATGGTTCCTGCCTTCCAGAACATAGCCCTCAACACTTCTGGACAATCATATCTAGGCCGTGCGTCGAACCAGCCCTGGGTCGAACGGCCACTCGTCGAAGGACGATAAATTTTGGAACATAACCATGCTATCTGCGCCTTACCCAAATGCAAATGTCAATTCCTCTAGCAAGGCACCAACATCGACTAGGTAACGATCGTCGAAATAAATTAGCTGCTCACATAATGGGTGCTTTTCCATAACTTTTTCAAATATTCTCAATTCCTTTTCTAGACATTTTTCATGCGTGTTTAATTTATTCATATACATTTTTCGCACTTTAGTATACATCATCCGGCCCTTCTCCAACCATTTTCCTTCACTATTTTTAGTCCCTCTAAGTTTTTCAAAAAATTTTCACACATTTTTTAACTTATCTGCATGGAGTATTTACACATATGCATTAATTTTTCTTACAATTTACATGCATTGTCTTACAATTCAGAAAAATTTGCAAAAATATAGTTCCTTACATTTTCATACATCTGCTCACCTATCATCCAGTTTCAAGCATTGTATATGCATTTGTATGTATTTTCCCTACATTTCGAATACATTTTTTCATATCTGTCCAATATCACGGAACTTTTCGTTCAATTCTATATCAATTTTCAAATTTTGAAAACAAATATATATGTCGACTTTCATGTATTTCCCAGAGTTTCTCGCGCAATATTCAATAAAATAAGTTGTAAACCATTGTCTTTGGAAATGAATAAGGTTCATTTGAGTGGCACCTATAATATTCGTGATAAGATATCTCGCAGATAGTTGTGGGAGATACCAATGAGATCTCTACATTTGCATTTCGATTGACATCGATTGACATGGAATAGGAACTTAAAAATATTGTATCCTGTGGTCAAATTGACACTGCTCTGCGATTTCATTTGCGTTCCGTTGTTACTCAAAGGAAACCTGAGACAGCTCATGAATCTGTCACGAGCAGCACACGTTTATTCTCATGTATTAAAAAAAGGTAAGTTATATCAAATTCTATATGTCCAACAGCTGAAATCTTCTAGGCCCATGAAGCAAGTTAGGAACGGACGATATAAACATAACATGAAGGACGATAAATTCTGGAATATAACCATGCTATCTGAAACCTAACCTCAGATGCGGTGAACGTAAAATTACGTAATTTAGCGATGCCCGGAAGTCATATTCGATCCGCGGCCTGGTGGTGCACGGCAGGTTTTATGCAAGGACGCAGGAGGACAAAGCCGAGTGGTTCACGGCTGATTAGTTGATGTCTGGAGAGATCCAAGGCGTTCGATTCAGGTTAATTTGTGCACAAAATTGGTGGTGCACGGCCGCGCTCCCGAACGAACACCAGGGGCCACGGCTATAAACTAAAAAAAAAACTACGTTGTAACTTGTAACACATCCATGCGACAACATTTCTTCTCGCTTTGAGTCACCGACATGTGGAACAGCCTCCGTGATAGCATCGTTGACGCTCAGAGTACGAACGCCTTAGACGAAGATATGCAGATTCATATCATATGTTCAGTCTTGAAATGCCTAGCAACCTACGGACAGACATTGAGTACAGCAGCTATCTCAATCAATCGTCAGTTTTGGAGAGATCAGGTTTCAAAGGCCGGATCCCTTGTGTATCAAGTCACGAAAATTACAATAATCGGCAACAGGCCACGGGCCTATTTCTTCAGGGCCGACACTTCTATTCTATTCAGGCTATTCTATCAAAGAAGACAATACACCATTCCAATTTCAGCAATGGAAAATGAGAATTCAGGAATCTGTATTTATGTTCAATTAGGTTTATGTTTGTTCCATTAATTTGTGGCGTAATCACAAAAGTCCCGAACAATTTTATAGTGACAAATATATATAGCAATGAATAAGAAATGACTACGTACGGTAGATGTGAACGTGACTTTTATTACTTGTCATACCTTAAGTTGAAATGTTAATAAAGAATTTGTGTAAGTAAATTCAACCTAATGTAAAAATTTTGCGTTCATATTTTAGCGCATTACACCCGGCATAGCATAGCATAGCATAGCATAGCAATCTCGGCATCAGATGTTAGGCTTCCACAGCCTGTTGCCGATTCTGTTGTGCCTGGTACTCGTTTCTTGGTCCATACTGACTGCTGATCCTTTGATCAGCTCTAATAAAGGTGGGAAGCTCGTCTACACTGTAGACAAGGTCCCGCATAACACTGTCCAGTCTGTTCTTAACGAACAGACTGGACCATGAACATAGCATAAACGAAATCATATAGTTAATCCCTTTGAAAATTTTTTTATTCAAATATGAAAAATTCCATTTTAGTCTTTGAAATCGAAATTATTCACCAACCATGTGAAAACCTAGTTTCGAATAAATTCACTTCCAAGTAGTGAAAATTTTGTCATTTTGATTTAGATCGCGTCAGTGTTGCTGTCTGAACGCTCTTCTATAGTTTTTGGCTTTGCATGGTGACGGTTTGGTCGCCTCGTATTTAGGATAGGGAAGATGTCGGTGCGTATTAAATCTATTGGTTTTATGCCTTTCAATGTTAGAATATGTTCAATAATACATACGAGTCTTCAGCCTCTCGATGAAAAAAGTTTATTGTTAATCATTGTTGTGTTTGTCTACAATTTTTACGGAATCGGTACTACTTGTTGATCAGTTGTGTACATTGATGTCGATTTATTATAGGCTATATACCTACCTACCTAATTGGATCTTGTGCATTGTATAGATTTTAAGTATAGTATCTAATGCTAAGACAGTTTTTTCAGACTAATCATTGCATCTCTTCTTTAATTACCATTAGCATTGAGTTTTTTTCTTTTGAGTGAATTTCAGTGAAATGAAATGATCAATCCCTTCAAAGTTCAAACTAAATCCAAGCTTCAACTTTCAAGTGTTCAGTGCTTTTCCATAATCTTGTCCACCAGCTTTCAATTCATGTTTATTTCATGAGATTACTCATTAAGATGCAGTCATGTTCCTTGAAGCATTTATTTTTTATGAGAATTGAATTGAGTTCGTGAGACATGACCACTGTGCAGAGAGTGGATGAATATTGCAAGATCTTTGGTGACGCTTCTGTATCCTTATCCTTAGTAATTTGTTTTGGACATAGCAGTCCCAGGCCACGTTTGATTCATTTTACGCCTTCAGAAGATCTTGCTGACACATTTAGATTGTAATTCTTGCATTTAATAGGTATATTTGTCAGTCTTTGGCACACTATTTAAAAAAAAGTAAGGTTTCTGGTGCGTTGGATGGATCGGGATGAAGTAAAGCTTGTCCGGAAATTGGTTGTGATGAGACTAGGGTAAACGCGGTATATTCCGACATCGTAGGTAATTCCGTCACTTCTCTAGTTTATCCTTTATATTAAGCTTTGTTTTAGTTCCATGCGTAAATTGATGGTTGAAATGGTGACGTCATACATTTGCGTGTCGAAATACTGCAAAAACACTAGGTCTTGGCCATCTAGCGGGAAAATATTGAGATCCAAAGAGAGACAATGCATGCCACGTGGTGAGATCATCGAAAAATGTGTCAAATTTGACAGTTGACATGGCTCTACC